ACTCAAACATACTCAAAGCTAACCTGTGCTATCAGAAATCAGGAAAGTGACTGGAAAGGGGTTAGGGGTGGGGTTCCTACGGTGCTGATAATATTCTATTTCTTGGTTTGAGTGCTGATCATACTTCGCTGCATGTACATTTTACTTTGATATGAAACCAGTGTTTTTTTCCAACAATAAGTCAAGAAACTTCGAAAGGTGCTCTAACTCCACGACTATGTAAATACTAGAACTGTGCAACCTTTCTGTGCTTTATATGTACATGTGTTCCTTGCCTAATTTTGTCAATAATCTCTGCTCCCCAGTTCCAATTCAGATGCCTACAGAAAAGATCATTTACTTATAAATTACAGTATTCCTGTAATTCCCCTGAGACTGTCTTCTCAAACCTGAGGCCAGTCTTAACTTTCTTTTGGAACCTAGCTCAAGAACCTCTCTCTATACACCTACCCTCAGAACTACTACAGAGTTTACTCTCTTCCTCTAATATTTTTATCTATGTCCAACCAGGTAAGTCTTTTGGGGCTGTGGTCAATATGTTCAATAACTGTTGATAATGTTTATTGGGAAATAACATTAAGAATATAAACCCTTTACACAGGGGTGACATACTAGGGGACCCCAGAAGCATCTAAATTTATGCCCGATAGACAGAAATCAAAGTTTTTATAATACTAAAGTAAAACAAGAAATGCACCTCAAACAGTATTACCTGGACAGGCTTTAATTTTTTTGCCCAGTCTTTAAACTTTCCTTGCTTAGCCCACACCCAGAACCCAAAAGGCACACTATTTAAATAAGTTACGCAGAACTATAACTTATGTAATTGTAAAATCAAATCACTGTTCAACTAAAAGAACTGTTCAAATACTGGTTATATTGGTTTTTAGCAGGGAATTTCGCCTGTTTCTTTAAATCAAAAAGGAGAAAGTTTAAAAAACAATAATTAATTTATAAAGGGAAAACAAACTTAAAAGTCTTAAAAACAGAAACAAAACATTCAAAGCTAGTAGTAGCCATGCTATATAATTTTTAATATCTTTATTGTCCATCTTTTAGATAAATTAAACTACCTTAATAACCTTAAATGTTCTCCTAAGTTTTGTCTACAGCAGTCGTTCTCAACCTTTGGCAGTCTGAAGACATTTTTAGTTGACCCAACTGGCAGAAAGAGAGGGAAGGTAGGGAGATGGGGAGAGGGCTGGCTGTGCTATCTAAAATAATCTAGATCGAGCTAGAAAAATATATTAAATACATTAAACAATAATAGATACAAAAATCAATCTAAATGCTTAAAGAAAACTTATACAATAGTAGTATTCATGAAATCAATTTGTTAATGCCAAATCAATTTGTTAATGCGATTTGTTAATATTTGTTACATATTCCCTATGAGAATCCTAGAAAATGTTAGCAAAGTATAGCTACAACACAAAAAACTACAGGTACCATATAGCACAAGAACAAACAAGAGTAAGTGCACTGATTTAAAGGCATTTTACTTCATTAAGCTTCAAATTTTAAAATATTTTACATACTGAAATTCAAGTAAATCTTAAGTTAATTACAGGTAACACTTATTTTAATGTTTAAACTAACAATTAAATTAGGTTGTGTTTAAATCCTTTAACCAGTAATACAAACCAGGCTCAATTATTTTTAAATAATTAAAAGCATGCCTATCCTTGGCAAGTCAGGACAGTGTGGCACAATATAAACACAAGCAGACCTAGATTCAAATCTAAAGCTGTATGTTTGCAGACAAATAATTTAACTTTTCTGAATCTCGATTTTCTATTCTAAGAAACAGAAAATCTAATTCAAAGACCTGTTCTTGAGAACTAGCAAAAATATATAAACAAATGGTACTGAGAGCCACTCTACAAATGGTAGTTACCGGCAACAATAATTAATAGTAAATAATAACCTGTGAAGACAGATCACTTTTATTATATCCTCACAATCAACAATTCACTTACATAATTCGACTTGCAAAATAACTATAGAATGTACTTTAAATCAATTTTCCACTCCTAGAAGCTCTGAAACCTAACTTAAAATTCTCACTCAGATTTAAAAATTAGTATCTGACACATAAAGGATGAATTTCCAAACACGGTCTCAAGGAAAAATGACCTAGGCAGTGCCTTTATTATTTTGTTTTAAGTAAAAAACATGTTCACATTACTTAAAATTCAAAAGGGATCTTTCGATGCCTGTTGTCCCAGACATCCAACTACCCTACACAGAAGTAATCAATTTTACCAATTTCTCATTAATCCTTTCATCTATACAAATAAACATATTTCCCCACCTCTGATACAAATGGTGGCCTCCTCCACACTATTCTGTACCTTGCCTTCCACATTTGCTTTATCTTGGAGGCTATATTTTAATTAACAACACATTTCAAGAATGGCCACGTATAACTTCTTATGGCCAGACACCAGCAATCTTTACAAAGGCATCCCACCCCCAAACCTTCTAACAACCAGTATTCTTAGTAAACACAAGCATATGAAATAATTGGTAAACTGGAGATTTTACATAGGTGATATGATGAAAAACTTGATTACCTACCTGACTCAAAATACTGCATTTACACACTTAAAAAGGAAACACATGGACTGTACTACAAGTTTTTCAATGAGTTGAAAATTCTTATAGAATTGGCCCTACTAAAATACAGATAAAAAAAAATTGGTGCAAATAAAGCTATTTATTGGTTACAGTTCAAAATTAAATTATCTGACCCTTTCCTAAATGTACTTTGCAACTTACTTTCTGGAAGAAGTTTCCTTCCAGATTTATAAAGGTACTATTCTTAAAAAAAAAATTAAAAAAAAAATTGTTTGCATTTCCTGTTTTCTTCCTCTGAAACACTAAGACAGACAAAGAAGCAAGGCTTCACCATCCCTTACATGTAAAGAGCAGCATTATTTTAACAATAAGCATCACTATAATACAAGATTTCTTTTCAGCTTCGATTTAAGTGCTAAGAATATCATGCTGAAAAGTCACTTCCTATAAAGAGACCATATGAATTAGAAAAAAAAGCAATTTAGCACTTTTAGGTAATTGAAAATAAATCATTAGAAATTTTTTATTAAGTCTCAGGCTTATATAACCTTACTATAGAAGAAAATGTTTTAGGCTGTTGGCAACAATATTAGCTGCCATCTTTCATAAGGAATATATATGTCGACTTTCCTGGAATATAGTTTATTAAATAAAAAAGTCATTGTTTCACTGTAAATCAGTACAGGCATTTATGTGTCTATTTCTGCACTGTACCACAAAAATACAAAGTCATCCTTCCATTCAGAATTTTGGCATTAGAACAAATGCACAGGGCAGAGTTCATACACATGTTCTGTAAAACCTATCATTACTTATATACTACTCCATTCAATAAATCTGCTAGTATTTGTCATTTTTGATAATTTTAAAGACTTTCTCTAATTGGAAAGATACATAATCACTATAGACACAAATAAAGCTCAAGTGCTATCAGATTTATGTCAATTACTCATCACATAGTTAGGAGTGCTGAATTTCACAAATCACTGAGATGATCAAAGTACCAATATAACAGAAAAATACAAATAACAATGATGCATTCGATAATAGTACTGACATACTGAAAATAATAACCATTTCAGCATTGCTTTTTAATCTTTGTTAAATTCAAGGAGGAAAAACCACCTGGAATTCTTGTTGGCTTGGGCATGAAAAATTTTACTGATACTTACATCGTTTTGAGTCAAACTACTAGAACATTTTGAATATCTTATATAAATAAATGAGTCCACTACTAGTTTATCTAAATTCTGCAGGACTCGAGAGCAGCTTGAGACAAAAAAAAAAAAAAAAAAAAAAAAAAAAAAAAAAAAAAAAAAAAAAAAAAAAAAAAAAAAAAAAAAAAAAAAAAAAAAAAAAAAAAAAAAAAAAAAAAAAAAAAAAAAATTAATCATTTTAGATAGGGTATTATGATATACCTATTAAGGAGATATAACAATGCATTAATCTGGTGAAATTCCATGTGTTTAATACGGCTGTTTTAAAAAGTAGAAGCAATTTAACTACGAAGGACATCACAATGAAGTTTCATGGCACAACATAGTCAGAGGCATTGTCTTGGGAGGTTCTCTGATGTGTAACTTCTGTAACTTGTAAGTAATATTTTGAAATAAGCTTCTCACACACTCCATTATTTTTTCCTAGCTAAAAATATTTAAAATGCCTTTAACACACCAAATGACTTGCCCTTACCCAGTCAAAAGCTCTAGGTGTCAACAGAAAGAGGCCTAGGAATTGGGGGTAAATAAAAATGAGATAATAGTCTAGATTGGAATTAATTTCCAACCTCAGGTGAAAATTCTCTATCTCCCACTCAAAAAGACAATATCACATTAAGTCTCCCCTTTCCTCCCAACACTCAATTAAGAGGGAGTAACTCGGAACGTCCTCCTTTCATCAACACCTAAGGACTCTCACAGCTCCTTCCCCAAGGAAAGGATAGTGAGGCCAGACAGCTATAACCTAGAAAGAATACCCTTAAAAGTGTGGGCCTTTGAGCAGCGCGACTCTCCGGATCCAGTTACCACCTTTCCCCTTCCCCCAACCCACTTCCCGGGTTTTCTCAGGCTTGGCCTGCTCCCTCGCCACCCTACAGCCACACTTCCAGCTGTTGCCACTACCTCGGGGCTCTCTCTAGAGCTCACACCCCGCCGCCAAGTGCCCCCTGCTCCCTCTTCCCCCTTCCCCGCCCCAAACCGTGTTCCTCTCCACACCACCCGCCCGCGAGACCGTCCATCCCAGGGCCCTGGGAGGGGAGGGGAAGGTGGCGGAAGGAGCGGGGAAGACTGCTGCTTCCCCACAGGCAGAAGAGCGGCCGCGAGGAGGGCCACCTGGGGGTTCCTGGGGATATTGGGAGTCGCCGCTGGTAGGGCCCTCCCGCCCTGGGCTGAGGTGGGGATGTCCGGGAGTTCATTTCTGACCTCCTCGCTCTTCAGCACCTCCTTGAACTCCCGCTTGATTCGCTGCACCGCGATGTTGGCCATGTCTCCGCCCGCAGCTGATTCGTACCCGCCTCCTCCGCCACCGCTACGACCACCGCCACCGCCGCCACCTCTTCCTCCGCCGCTTCCTCCCTCTGTGATTCACACCCGAGCACACGAACACTGCCACTGCCACCCCGGCCGCCTCGCTCTCTTCAGTATGGAATCACCTCCGTGTCCGGCCACCAAAATGGCGCCCGTCCGCGCATGCGCACGACGCTGACCCGACCGGGCGGCGCAGCCGCTCCCGTTGCAGCTCCGTACGCCTCAGCCGCGAGCCCGGATCCCCGCGCCGCGGCGCGCCGCGCGTCTCTCTGCCAGAGCTGCGACCGCGTGACTCCGCCCTGCCGGCGTCTGGGACCTGGAGGGTGCGGCCTCCACGCTGGCCTGCCCTGCCCCAGCCTCCTGGGTGGTCTCCTGCTCCTCCGGCCCCTTTCAAACCAGTGGGGTATCGCCTGGACTACCAACGTGACTGGTTCACAGGGCCCCACCAGGCTTGGAGCACTTCCTTGAACTCAGTCACGGAACCCACGGGCTTAATGTGCTTGGCTGCGTTTGGTGTATGAGAACACTACCCCGGAACTCAGTTCGGCCCATTTTCTACTGGCATAGGCCCAGAAAATCCACCACGGTCCGTTTTTGTTCCAAGACATTATAATACCACTATTACTATGATCAAATTATTGAATTAAGTGAGGTCATTGTTGGGTCCATGCGGTGTATTTGAGACAGGTACTCCATGAAGATGCCTGAGGCGGTTTTAGAAGCCAGATGGTGATCTTTGACCTACTTACATAATACTGAGCTGTGGAACTAAAACCGTAGTTTTCAAACTTGAATGTACATCGGAATCCTCAATGGACCTTGTTAAAAAAAACTTGTTGTGCCCCATCGCTAGAGTGTGGGGTAGGCCTAATTTGCATTTCTAACAAGTTCCTAGATGCTGCTGCTGCTGCTGCTGCTGCTGGTTCAGGGACCACACTATGAGAACCCCTGAACTAAGGCATGTAACAATAGTTTATATGTATATTATGTATGTGTGTATATATGAATAGATGAGTAAAGATAAGAGTAAAATGTTTTAAGTGGAAAGTAAGTTTGAAAGGCCATGTGGTTGCTAGGGTTTTCAGTAAGTAATATGGTTTTGGTGCTGAGAGATACTTTGAATAGAACATTTTGGAATAATAAAGTTTTCTTAGTTTATATTTCATACACTTCTTTCACCTAACCAATCAGTAAAGTATCGTATTAGAAAAATATCACAAATACACTGTCTTAGCAAAAATTACTAAAATTGTGACCACAAAAAGGAAATAGCCAAGGGAGTGAATCATTCAGTGGAGGAACATGGCAAAAAAGAATTTCTTGAACTCTGGCCACAGGAACCAAGAGGAGATTTTGATTCCAGCTCTATTCCATTCCAGCTCTCTTGGCCTCATGTGCAAAATAAGAAAGCTGGATTAGATGATCTCTTTCAAATTTTAAGAAGTCTAAAGCATCATCTGGAAAACTTTCCCTAAATAGACCAAAATAAATTATAAAAACCCTTTCAGCAGAGTCCCCTAGTGGTACTAAGAGGAACAAACTATACTTGCGGTTCATGGTACAATGAATTGTTGGTTTGATGTAAATCGTGCAATGCTATGTGTGTTTGTGCCAGTACATTAAAAATAATTATTTTCAAGTATTCAAAAAATGTTTGAGTATTTTACATTTATTACTTCATTCAGTCCTCAATATTAATCTTGGAACTTCAAAGAAACTTGCAACACTCAAATCTACTAGTTAGAAAGGTATGGTAATTTCTTGGAGGGAAAGGGGTCCCGTCATTTTTAAACACACATACTCATTGGCCCTGTAATTCCACTTCCAGGGAGTCATTCTACAATTCTAGAGAATGAGGCAACTGTATATTAACTGATATGAGACAATTCTAAAACTACAGTTTAAGAGGGGGAAAAAGCACTATGCTAAATGTAATGTGGTGTCTTGAATTGGACCCTAGAACTGAAAGACATAACTAGTAAAATCTAAATAAGTTCTTTAATTTAGTTAATAATATTGTAGCGATGTTAATTCCTTCATTTTGACATGGTATTATGGTTATTTAAGACATTGATATTAGTAGAAGTAAAGCGTATATAATTTTCTCGTGTATATAATACTTGTGAATCCATAAAATATCACTGGAAAAATACTTAAGAAACTTACAACAGTGGTTATGTCTGAGAAAGCAACTTAAGTTGCCTTGGAGAAGGCAAAGTAGGAGACTTTTCACCATGTATCCTGATGCATATTTTATCTATTCAAAACTGTTTTTAAAAATGTTTCCAGTAATACAGATTATAAACTCTTCACTGTTCTGATCTAATTCTGATTAATTACATTATTAGGTAATTATATAACTAATTAAACAACTATTTACTGAGTGCCTACTATGTCCCAGGCATAATCTAGGCCCTGGAGGCATATCAGTGAACGAGAGGCAAAGAAAACCTAGACTTGTAGGATTTAGATTCTATCAAGGATGGAGAGAATTAATCTCAAAGTATAGTCTGCAGATACCTGGGTGGTCCCGAGATGTTTTCAGGGGTCCGTCTGAAATGCCCAAACTATTATCATAATAAAACTAAGACATTATTTACCTTTTTACTGTGTTGACATTTGCACTGATTATGTAAATGCAATAGTGGGCAAAAACAATTTCTGTAGTAGCAATAATTTTATTAATGCCATATACTCACTATTTAAAAATGATAATTTCACTTAAAAATGTCTTTGGTGAAGCAGTAGAAATTATGAGTTTTTATTAAATGTCAACTTTTGAATACATATTTTTTTAATATTCTGTGTGATACACATTAAGGATACATAAAGTGCTTCTGCACACCAAAGTACATGGTGAAGCACTTGTGCAATTGGTTGAGTTGCAAGCTGAACTAGTCACTTTTCCCATGGAACACCGTTTTTATTTGAAATAATGATAGAGACAAACTATGTTTATTAAGAGTTGGGTATTTAGCAGACATTTTATCAAAAGTGAATGATGTGAGCCTGTCACTTTAAAGAAAACGACCAGTAGAATTTGTTGCCAATGATAAAATTCAAACTTTCAACTGAAAATTAGAGTTTTAGAAAACATATCTGTGACTTGACAGCTTCCAATGCATTTAAAGATATTTCTGATTAAATTGGTGGTGACATTAACAAATGTGATTGCTTGAAATTGTAATACCATGTCAAAATGAAGGAATTAACAATATTATTAACTAAATTACAGAACTTACTTAGATTTTACTAGTTATGTCCTTTCAGTTCTAGAGTCCAATTCAAGACACCACATTACATTTAGCATAGTGCTTTTTTCCCCCTTTTAAAATGTATTTTTAGGATTGTCTCATATCAGTTAATATGCAGTTGCCTCATTCTCTGGAAGAATTGTAGAATGACTCCCTGGAAGTGAAGTGAAATGTGTTAACATTTGGAAGATCTGCATAAATCAGTGAATCAATATTTTCCAGATGACCAATGCATGATGTTACAGAATCATGCATTGGTAAAACATCCATTTAAGGTTTGAGAGAGATCAATGGATTTTAATGTAACAGAGTCTAAAAAGTTCATTGATAACATTTCGTATTCCACATTGCAACTAACCTTTAAGAAACTACCATTTGTCTAGATTTACCATAATATTAAAGAAGATTATCCACAATTACCTGAAAAAGTTATTAAAATATTCTTTCCCTTTCCAACTATGTATATGTATGAGGCTGGATTTTCTTCATATACTTCAACCAAAACAACATATGCAACATATTGAATGCAAAAGCATATATGAAAATCCAGCTGTGTTCTATTAAGCCAGACATTAAAGAGATTATGTTGGGGAAATACAGTTATTTTTCACTAACTATATTATTTATGTAAGCATGTAATTTATTATAGTTATTAATTAATAAACATTTCAATATTTTCTGTTTTAATTTCTAACACGATGTTGTTTAACCCACATAAACAAATGCTCTTTGGAATCCTCAATATTTTTGAGGAATGTGAAAGAGTCCTGAGTACGTTTAAGTATACTGTACTGTCTAAATAAGGCTTAGATCTAAAAAGTTACATACTTTCAGAATAATTTACATAAACATTATGTGATAGATGTGAATATAGTGTGAAGGTAGTAAAATTGGTTTCAGATTCATGAAAGAAAGTTAATCTAGTAACTCTTCTGTTGTCCCTAATAGAACAATGTGTGTTTGATGTGTTCATTCACATTTTAAAAATACAGTAAGGCATAATAGTGCTTTGCTGACCCCTGATAATAACCACCAAAATTGGAAATGTGAAAGTCTTCCTTCTCATAGTTTCTGCTAGTTACTCTTACTGCTCCTGACATTCAAATTTCCTCTTTTGCTAAAAGCAGAGCAATATTTTCTTCTACAGCCCTTTTCCTGACCTTGTGTTTTGCCAACTTTTGGAGACTTTTTTCCTGTCTCTCACCACTACCTATTCTACCCAAGCCTTTCATTTAACTCTCTTTTTGAAACAGTCATAACTCTGAGATCATTCTGCTTTTTTCCACTCCTTTCACTGAGTTCTGCCCTTTCCATCTTGTCAGCTCCTCTCCCCTACCCGCCCCACTGGGGTAAGGAGCTCTAGCAGCAAAAGTAGAAAGGAGCAGTTAGATCCACAGCTGAATGTCTAAACTTAGGTCCAGGCCAGTGGGCACCACAGTAGTGATTGCAATGCATACTATATTATTCCAAATATAGAGAATAGATCAGAATTTCTGCAACTGTGGCTTTCAGAATTACCTGCATCGTGGAGCGTAAGCTGGTTTTAATAGCACAGAATGTGTTTCCTTGTCTTAAGTTACTGATTAGGATCCTGTCAGGCACAGAGTTTCTTTAGGTAGGAGCTTTTTTAGGAAAGGACCTACCTCATAATTCCACTCTGTCCAAGGAACATATAGCTAAGAGTGGGACATGGCAATGGAGCATTTACACTTCACATTCAAGACACCAGCTACCTTTCCAGTAGACTGCCTCTGCTAACCATCTCAATGCTTTTGCTGAGTTGGTTAATCCCTTTCTGTCCTCTAAATTAGAGTTCTCCATTTTAGAACCTCAATCTAACACAAAGATCTCAATCTTCCAGAAGACACTCTTCTAAATCCCCTTTCTTTGGTCATCTCAGAAGCTCTGAACATGAGAACTTCCCACTAACTAAAATCCACACCTGGCTTCTACTATTCCACCCTTGAAT